ATATTCCTTTCCCCCCACAGTATTAAAAAATTGTAAATTCCCCTCTCTCCTGCTGTGTTTTTTGTTCGCGTTATTAATTATTAAAACAACAGTCCTGCAATGTCCATGGTAAGAAGTATCAACATTTTTCTTATATTCACATTGTAGGGCTTTTCATGTTATTATTGGACATTATTCTTAACTACATTGTTGCTAAAATAAGCGGCTGTTGTTTTTTCCCCCTGTGAAATCTGCCAAGCCCGTTTCTGGAACACATTTGTTACTAATGGCATTCTCTGTAACACTCACATTGACCTAATTGTGGGGCCTGGCCTGAAAAACTGACACGTTACATGGAACTGAGAAAATGTGGAAATGAGAAGAAGCCACACCGGTGTTGGTCCCAGTATTTTAACAGAGGAAGAGATGGTGTTTTCCTCTACCTCCGTGCTATTCAGTCAGTTAAATGTCTTAATTCTGATAATCTGAGCAATTAGAACAAATCCAAAACTATTGCCATCGCTATAGTCATACTTGAAAAGAGTTTCTATTCACATTAAATCAAATTCCCAGAGGCAGGAGTCCATCTAAAGGGTAAATGCCATATGCTAGAATCTCATGTTAGCATTACAGCTTTTTCTCTAATGCACAGGGGAAGTGCTTAAAGAACAGTACATGATCCCTGCTAGCAAGCTGTCTTTAACTAGGGCATGTAGGGCATGATCTGTGGGGAAATGACAGCAGGTGGGTCTTGGTACTCTTCTGTAGCTAAGTTAACCAGTGCGCATCTCCCATAGTCTGCACAATAGACCCAAAGGAACACCAAATGGCAATATTGAAACAGTGCACGAAACAGTTACGCTTGGAACCTGTAACTGAGTTCCATGTCTGCTATCGAGTCTCTGCCACGGAGTGTACTCCTAAACCCTTCCATTTGTGTAAGATCAATTGTTTTCAATGAATGCTTCCACAAACTCAAATTTTATCAGAAAAGGAAGCGTGCTCTGTGACAGAGACTGTTTAGCACACAAGCCACTAATTCATAGGATCCAAACCTTAATCCTTTTCTTCACCCGATGCTCCTTCCCACCATTCACCATGGAATATAGCATTGTAATAATTTTTAAATGATTTTAAACTTACTTCCAGTTCCATTAGGAGCAAGTGGACTGGCTGCTACTTCTAGAAATTAAACTGGCTTGCTCCTAATGGAACTGGAAGTAAGTTTAAAATCATTTTAAAAATATTACAATGTTATATTCCATTCAACTGCATGTCTCTTTCCAATCTCAATAATCATGTTTGTTTCAGGATATTTTGAAAAAGAATTTCAGCTGCAATAATTGCAAGACAGTAAAAAAGAAGTTAAACTGCATTCAAAAGAAGTTAAGCTGTATCAAGAGGTGTAAACCTTCCAACCTTAGAGGATTACTCCTGAGGAAGACTAATGAAACGAGTATAAAACCGGGTGCTCATGAAGAGGATATCATGATGTTGGACTTTTCCTTGAATATGTCAGAATTTCCTAAGCAAAATTGTCATGTTTGAATAGATATACATATTGATGTTCACATGAATTATTAAATGTTATTTTTATCACAGAACTTCCAGGCGGTGCCTGGGGTTCTTCCAGAATTACGATTCATCTACGAGTTACAGACATCAGTTCTCCTAAAGAAAATGACAGCCTTAGAGGATGGACTATAAGCAGGGCTTTTTTTGTAGAAAAAGCCCAGCAGGAACTCATTAGCATAATAGGCCACACCCAACAGCAGGAACTCATTCGCATATTGGGCCACACCCCTGACCGCACAGCTCATTAGCACATTAGGCCGCACCCCCATGTTACCAGAAGTGTGGTTATCCAGCCACACCCACCTTTTGCTTCTTATTCTGTTTACCTTGTTTGGTGTCAAAACCCAGGGCTTTTTTGTAGCAGGAACTCCTTTGCATTGTGAGGCCACACACCCCTAATGTAGCCAGTCCTAATGAGTTCCTGCTGTTGGGTGTGACCTATTATGCTAATGAGTTCCTGCTGGGCGTGGCCAACTTGGGAGCCAGCCGGAACTCTGTTCCTGTGCGTTCCAGCCCAAAAATAGCCCTGACTATAAGGCATCACATCCCCTCCCCAAACTTCACCCTCCCCAGGCTCCACCACCAAATATCCAGGAATTTCCCAGGACGGTGTTGGCAAACCTACATTCACCAATCCCAAGACTGGTGAATCCAGGGTTGCTGGCCTGGTCCCCCTGGCCACTGGCAGGAGATACGGGGTATGAGGGGTGTAGGGATGCCAGACCCAGGTTGGGAAACTCCTGGAGACCTGGAGCTGGAGACTGGAGAGGACAGGGGCCTCAGTGGGGTACCATGCCATAGAGTCCACCATATTCTCCAGGGGAACTGATCTCTGTAGTCTGGAGATGAGCTGTGATTCCAAGGGATCCCCAGGACCTGCAGAGACACATGTCTTCATGGAAGGCCATGTGCAGAGACTGAGAGGGCAAATGGAGTGAGAGGAGGGGTCAGAGGGAAGCTCCCAGGTTAAGACAAAGAAAGACATCCCATTCGAGGAGATAACACCTGTACGCACTTAGGGTGATGTAGTGGCATTAATGTCCAGGCATGCTGAGTTGCTTCTCCAACAGACTCCACCCCCAAAATCTCCAGGTATTTCCCAACCCAGAGCTGGCAACCCTATCTGGTAATGTCAGCAAGCTACAGCCCTGTCACAGGGACCAGGTCAAAATCTGACAGCCTTTGAAGATGCTCCAAACCTGGGAATAGCCCCGGAGCCCTGCTGCATATATCCCAGCCTACAACACTATTGCATTTCAAGATCCCTACAGCCACAAGCCACAGGCAGCATAGAATCAAAACATAAAGTTCCCAGAACCTCTGGAGTGTATTGTTTTTGGCAAGCGCACACCACCCGCCTAATCATATTTGCAACCGAGAGCTAGAGATGGGAGTCTAGCATCACTTCCACCTATTTATCTATTTATTGAGAACAGGGCTTTTTTTGTAGAAAAAGCTCAGCAGGCACTCATTAGCATATTAGGCTACACCCCCATGCCTTCCCTTGGCTTGCCCGGGTGCCCCACGGCTTCAGGGAGCCCAGGCAAGCCGGCCCTTGGGCAGGCCAGGGAAGGCACGGGGAGGCATTTAAATGCCTCCCCGATCCTTCCAGCCCCCCCTGGCCCACCCACCTTGGAGTCACTGGGGGGGGGTCGCTCTCCATGCCTTCCTTCTGTAACCACGCACACAGAGGTTTTGGCTGTAGTGGGCATGGCCAACTCTGAAGCTAGCCGGAACTCCATTCCGGTGCGTTCCTGCCCAAAAGTAGCCCTGATTGAGAACATTTGTATGGCGCTGTGCAACACGAAAGCAAAACCAAGCATTCCATAAAGGCAAACCATAACAGCAAAAAAAAAAAAAAAAAAACCAAAGCAATCCAAATCAATCAATAGTAATGATGATGGTGATGATAGAACATGCCAATAAAAAACATAATTAAAAGCAAGTCAGGGTATGAAAACACGTAAAACACCAGGGCGTAAAACAGTCCTCAGGCTTGGAGCAGACCATAGAACAGCCCTAAGCACTGAACCGTTTATTTAGAAATCTGGGTAAAAATAAATGTTTGGGCCTGGTGCCTAAAGGAAAGTAAGGTGTAGGTGCCAGAGAAACCGCGGGGGGGGGGGGGGGAGGCATTCCAAAGGTGAGTTGTCACTGCTGAGAAACCCTGTCTCTGGTCACCCCGTGCCAGCAGGGGCACAAAGAAGAGGGCTTGGGAGAAGGATCGCAATTGGCAGGGTTTGAGCTAGGGCTGCCAGTTCCAAGCTGGGAAATTCCTGGTGATTGGGGGGGGGGTGGAGTCCGGGGAGGCGCGGTTTGGGGAGGGGAGGGACTTTGGTGGGGTATAATGCCAAAGAGTCCACCTTTCAAGGCAGCCATTTCCCCTGGGGGACCTGATCTGTGTCGCCTGGAGACCTGGTATCATCCTAGGAGATCTATAGCCTCTACTGGAGGTTGGCAACCCTAGGCTGAAGTGGCCATTCAAGTTTATACTTAGGACCTAGTTACAGACTTGAAAATAGACAGGCCTTTACAATGGTGCTGCACCCTTCTAAATCCACTGAATTCAAGTGGGTCATACCGCTTAGAACTGCATTGAGCATTGACGTCAGTGGACTCAGAAGGGTGTAACTCCACTTAGGGTTGCAGTTTTTCGTGCAGCCTTGCTGGTTTTCCAGTCCCCATTTCAGTCATCTGGGTCTAGGGATGCCAAGTCTTACCCCTTTGCCAGGCTCCTGGCATGGTCCTGGAGTCCTGGCTTGGTCCCCACCCCCAAAGACCCCTGCCAGAAGTGATGTCATCATACTGGGCACATTGTACAGGGGACACTCTAGCATTTGGCTAAAAATTCTATGGTCACCATAAACTTTATAGCCAAATGCTAGAGTGTCCCCCACGTGATGTGCCCGACGCAATTACGTTACCTCTGGGTGATGTCATCACTCCGGGCATGGTGGGCGTGGTGGAGCTCTTTGAGGGTAGGCTCCCCCAACCGGCCAACTGGCCAGTGGCGGATTGGGGCCCCAAAATTACGGGAAACCCCACCCCCATCAGGGGTTGGCAACCCTATTTGGCTCCTAGTGCCCTTAACTCCTCCAGTGGCTCAGCTCAGAATCCACAATTGTTTTTGAACTGGCACTTTAATGGCAATCTTGCCAAGTGGCTCAGTCTTCTTGCCCAGGGCCTTCAAGCAGTTCAGTGCTGCTGCCATCACCCAGCACTGCTAGAAGTTCCACAAAACTCTAGCCAAGCAGAAACTGCAGTGGGAAAGGTACCCGTCACACTCTCACTTTATCCTTGTGTTTGCCCAGCATTTGCCAGTGCCACCCACCCATCTCTGCACTAGATCTATGGATCTATGGCTGGTGAGTCTAGCTTACCTGCACAAGTCTCTCCATCGTAAGTTTCACATACCCACTCGTGGCACTCACACAGCGGCCCATAGTATTTTCCCGGCTCCGTCACTTGACAGATGCAAACCCCACAGTCGCAATGGCCTCTGCCGCTGCAGAGTTTTCCACCTGGGAATCGACACCTGCGCTCTGACTCAGCCTGGGACAGTCGGCAAGAGGAGGTGCTTCCCAAACCACTCCTGCGGGAAATGAAAAAGATAAGTAATTACAAAAAAAAAAAATCAGGGGCACAAAACAAAAGACAGAGGATCTGCTGCTGCTCCTGGGCTTCCTAATGGTTCCATGGAACTAATTGAACCACCAAATCTGAGCAACTGAGATCGAGGGCATCTGCTTATTGGGAGCTGACATGGCATTTGTCCCAATCTGAATGGCTCAGGCTAGCCTGATCTTGTCAGATCTCAGATGCTAAGCTGGGTTGGTCCTGGTTAATACTTGCATGGGAGACCACGGAGGAAGTCCAGGATCACTACACATAAACTGACAATGATGAATCATCTCTGAACATCTCTTCCTGTGAAAACCCTACAGTGGTCGCCGTCAGTCAACTTCAACTTGATGGCACTTTTTACCACCATGGCAGTCAGTTTAAGAGAATGAGGTGATCAGGGAAGTTGCCAGCTCATATCTCATCTCAGCAATGAACTAGAGAGAGAGAGAAGATGGTGGGTAGATGGCCTTAGGAAAGTCTCTCAGCCGCCGCCCTCCCCATCTGCAATATGGGAATAATAATACTTGCCTACCTTTCTGTGTTGTTGTAAGGATTACTGTGATAATATATGTGAAATGCTTTGAACACTGAAATGTGCTATATAAGAGTTATCAGAAATGTTGTTTGTTTATATGCTCTTCTTTGGCTAAGCATCCCCTACCACCCAAGTGGCTAATAAAAATGTGAAGAAGGCAGCCCATTGGTAGAGGACAACCTGTGAATGACGGCCGAAAAGTCCATACTGTAGTGCTATATGTATGCTCTTTTTTTGGAACAAAACACAGCATGTTTTGAGCAATGCCTGTCTTCAGGAATGACTTGTTTTTCCACTATGAAAAGGGCCCACTTTGCTTGAGAAAATGCTTAATTTCCTCTTTTCTAGGGATTAAACTACTAGATTAGAACCTGGGTTGACCCAAGTTCCAGTTCAGCTGTGGTCTCATTAGATAGCATCCAAGCCAGATCACAACACCAAATTCTTCCATGCAATTTCCAGATGCATCCATGTCTAGAAAACCTAGTGTGACTAAGATTGTACACACAGGAAGTCAGCTGCAATCTCTGTGATCAGTCACAATAACAGTAAGTGGCTTCTGGCTTCCTGTGAGTACAACACAGGGTCACACTAACCTTCCTCTATACATTTGTTTAGTAGATAGCTTGGAAGAATTTGGCAGTGCGGCTGGCCCCTAGAAGAAGAAGAAATTGGATTTATACCCCGCCCTTCACTACCCAAGGGAGTCTCAGAGCGGCTTATAAACTCCTTTCCCTTCCCCTCCCCACAACAGACACCCTGTGAGGTAGGTGGGGCTGAGAGAGCTCTGACAGAACCTGCACTTTTTCAAGAACAGCTCTTATCAGAACTGTGGCTTGCCCAAGGTCATCCAGCCAGGTGCAAGTGGAGGAGTGGGGAATCAAACCCGGTTCTCCCAGATTAGAGTCCGCGCACTTAACCACTACTCCAAACTGGCTCTAGACATGCCACTGCCTCTCAGTCACACGTGATACACTCGAATGACCCTCTCTCTTCTGGCCTCACCTGCGAATTAGAAACACAATTCTTCTTCCTCATGTGGACACTGTGGAGGTTTTTAAAAAGAGTGATAAACATAGTGACTTGCACTAAGCCATCGGCTTGGGGCACTGGACCATCTAAATAAAGAAATGAACTTTAAATCTTTCAAAAATGAACTTACAGTACCTCACAAAGCCCTTTTTAAAAAGAAATAAGTAGCCCATCTGTATTTTGGGCAAGGTTCTGGAAGGGCTGATCCAGCCTTGCTTTGTTATTTCAAAGCTGCCTCTTCACAATCTACTAGGACATCCTAGGATTATTATTTTTTTTGTATTTTTTTGTATTTTTCGTGTGTGTGTGTATATGTGCGTGTGCACGCACTCAGAAGTCTTGGCGACCTCTGATAACTGTGTGGGCACCCGGAAGTCATGGCGACCTCTGGTGACTGTGTATGCACCTGGAAGCCATGGCAACCTCTAGTGACTGACCCCTACTGGAGGCCTGGAGGATATTCAGAGAGGTGGCTGAGTAAAGCCTGCCCCTGCCTCCTGACTGCTGGCATTTCAAGGAGGTCTCCCTTCCAAGTACTTGTCAGACCCTGCTTAGTTTCCAAGATCTGACGAGATCGGGCTTGCCTGGGCTATCCCAGTCAGGGTGGAAATGTATGTCTTTTGATAGTTATACCCTGCTTTTCTCCCCAATGGGGACCCAAAGCAGCTTACAACACAGTTCTCCCCTCCTCCATTTATCCCCACACTAGCGATCCACTGAGGCATGCTGGTCTGAGAGAGAGAGTGGATTGGCCAATGTCACCTAGCGAGCATTCACATTTATTGATTTATTTATTCGATTTATACCCCGCCCTCCTTGCGTAGCAGGCTCAGGGTGGCTTACAATAGGTTAAAATAGTTAAAACACAGATGCATTGAAACAATGCAATAACATAGCATGCAACAAATGATATAATTACATATAAAAAGATAAAATGCTGATGGCAGTAGCATCCCATAGGGTCGAATTACACTGGCTGTTGTTATTCAAGTTAACACAGAGGGCCTTAACAGTTCAGATGTTAACTGCTCAGATGTTATCAATATGGTCAGTGGCGGCTCCTAATCAAAGGCCCAGTGAAAGAGCTCCATTTTACAGGCCCCGCGGAACTATTAAGTGTAGCGATTCGAACCTGTACAACTTCGCATCTCAGCTCATGCAGACTTGCCTCCTTGCATTAAAAATAAATGGTACAGGTATATTGACTTCATTTATATCGCCGCCGCTCTCCACAAGGGGAACTAAGCCAGTTTATATCTTTCTCCTCTCCTCCATTTTATCCTCACAACAACCCTGCATGGTAGGCTAGACTGAGACTGGCCTGAGGTCAGGCAGCAAGCTTTCGAGGCAGAGTAGGGATTCGAACCTGCATCTCTCAGATCCTAGCCCAACACTCCAACCACCACAGCATACCAGCTTAGTTACAGTTTTAAACAAGGATTCATTCCTTCTCCCCTTTCCTCCCCATCTGCCCAATTAAAATGTCTGACATTATTGTACTTACGAACAGACCCAACAGGTGGCAGAAAGCAGATCTATGCCTGGTCAGTATGTTAGAACATCAAAATCAGATGTTGAATATTTCTTTTAAAAGCGTGGAGTGAAATATATTCTTCTTTGAGGAAATGCATGCAGCAGACTTCAAAAAAAATGTTGGCAAGGTACAAATGCCAAGTTATGGGATTCTCAGCATTTTTTACACTCGTCGCTATACATTTTTTAAAATTTGGATTCATAGCCACAGCAGGATGTGTGCACATTTCTGTCTCCCTTTCCCCAGTTTTCTTCACTGCCTTTAGAGTAGGGACAAAATAGGTCCAGGGTGCTAAATTTAAACTTCTGCAAAGCTGCCTGTGTTGGAATGGCAAACAAGATAAAATGGTTCTTCAGTAAATGTACTCCTTTAAATAAGAGAATGGGGGGGGGGATAAAGTCAATGGTTTCCCAGCAAGATCCAGCTTGCCTTCATCAGGGTTGTGCTCAAAATTCACAGCACTCTTTTACCTGGACCCCTCAGATCTGGGACAGTTTACATACCCTGCCCATCTGTGGTTCACAGCCACAAATGCAAATTGCATCGGCAGCTTTCCTCCTGCACAGGAATGTAATTTCGCTTCTTCCCTTCATTTCCCAGAGACAAGCAGCAGGTGGGGATGGGGGTGGGGAGGAAACACCTCTTAATCTAAACACCTCTTTCCTTCCTCGCTGCAGCTTGTTGCCAGTTCCTAAAAGCGAATAGCGGAAACAAAACAACGCTTACCGCAGGGACAAGGAGAAACTTGGCGGGACTGCAGGCAGCAGAATGATCAGGGAAGGCACCAACAGAAGCAGACCCAAGCTGAGAAGCCCCTGTACATACATGCTTAGATCTCAGGTCAAGCAGCCGGTAAATGAAGAGTTCTCCCGGAGAGTCCAAACTTCAGACAGACCCAGTAGGTTTGCAGAGTTCCAAGCTGGCCAAAACCGGCTCTTTCCCCTGTGCTCCACCAAGTGCCTTTGATTAGCTGCCTAGAAGCTGGATTTGGGCAGCATCCTGGAAGGAAAGGCCAGTGCCAAAACCCCAAAGTTTACAGTCTAGGCAGGGAAGTAATTAGAAACAGTTGTATGGCCAGATGGTTTATTTTGACATAATAAAGTATCCTGTTCACAGTTCTGAGCAGACCCGTCTCATTCTCGAAAACCCAGGCACCATAAATATTTGAAGAAAAGTACACTCAAGTGAACCTTGATTAATGGAGGGTTTTGAGATAATCGTGGTCAAAGTGGCTGAGAAGCGATGTATATTTGTCAGGCTTGGCAGGAAAACACCAGCCAGGCTTTCCAACTGTATCCGAGAGTCATGCTCAGAGTTCAGGTGAATGCTTCGCATTCTTCGGACTAGTGAGAATGGAATAGGTCTGGTTTTTCACTCCCTCTGTTTGGAAACGCTTTTGGCATCGGGGGCTGTCAAGCAGATGGCAACCCCAGGATGATAATATCACACATCCACCCAATATGAGGAAATTAGGAAGGGACATTAAGAGAGAGAAACACGTTAAACAGTGGAACCCCCAAGTTTGTGGTGGTGGTGGGGTACAGTTGGTCCTGTTTCCTTGTCTGACATCCATGCTGGCAGAGATGTCTCCTGCTACATTCACACTTTACATTTTTTATGTGTACACTGAAAACATCTTAGTTGTGCGCGAGGCTGCCAAGACCGATCATGGACCCTGGACAAAGATTCCCTCTGGGTCCAACCTCACATTCAGAGGAAGAGACACAAGATGTGTTATTAGAACTGGCACACTGTGACTATCCTCCGGTGTCTTTTTGCCTGGCTCCCTGGGCCTCTGGAATTTTGTAATCCTCATCCTACCCTCTTGGCAGCCGCTAGGTAACATGAGGGGAAAGTGTAAGATCTGGAGTGACTGTTCCAAGGGTTGCTGACCTTTCCTTTTATAAGACATACTTCTGAGTAGTAAAAAAAAACAACAACACCCAGAGCTACTTCTCCCTCCCCAACTTATTACCAAGGATGGTTCCATCCTAGAACATGAAGAGCACCAGAAATGAAGTTGTCAGCTAAGCTGCACAGAGAAAAGGCTTGTGAAAGAAACATTTTTAAAAGGAAAGAAAAAAGCATAGAGCAGAACTTTCCTGAGTCTTCTAGAGGATTCACAAGCTACTCTGCTGCAGCGAGAGATCTACTGGCAGAACTGCCAACCTCCAGGTG